ATGGATGTCATAAACCTGCCTCATAAAGACAGAGCCTGCATCGAGGCATCAGGGCCCTGCCAGCACTGAGTGGGTCAGCAAAGGCCAATGCTGTTCAGGGAGATGGCTGGGGACGCTGAGTGCTGGGCCACTGCTGGGGAGCAAAGAGGTCTCAGGACAGCTAGAGGCACCTCAGGCACCTCCCCGCCAGCCTCCCACAGAGTACAGCTGGCCAGGGATTCACTGTACGTTGTCTACCCACCCTCCTGCCATCTAGCACCTCACTGGGACCCAAGCCCACCCGTCTCATGCTGCATCCCACCCCACCTTTAATCACAGACATCCCCGGCACAAGAGGGCAAACCTAACGAGTGGCCTGCATGCACCCATCCAGTTACCTCAAGCTCCATTCCCTGTCCCCGGGGGCCACCTGCTTTGCTGCCCCAAGCACAGGTCCTACCTGGACTCAGCCCTGTGAGCCCCATACCTGGGCCTCCAGAAGGTACAGCCGCACCCCTCCTGCTAGGAGCAGGTGACCAACGGTGGGAAACCAAGTGGAGAGCCAGGAGCTACGACCACCATCCCCAAGAGGAAGGGGTGGCCCAAGGCCACACGGCTGCCATGTGTGCTCAGGTTGTCAGTGGAGCATACATGGGCTGCATGGACACCAGGGAGGAGCCCACATGTATGCTGAGTCATGCACATACAGCCTCTGGTGGTGGCAGTCACTGCTCTTCCAGCTGGAGCTCAGGTGAGTCTCATTCATGGAGGCACCCAGACAGGGCCAGGCACAGCCCCAAATGTTTGTTGAGGGCCATTAGGTGTCACATGTGCTTGCACCCCTGCTTCACCAGCAGAAGCCTTCTGTGCCCACTGGCCCAGGTAAGGAGAGCCCCGTCGGAACAGGTTAAGGGGCTCTGCTGTGTGGTATGTCCATCTTACAAAGGGTGGGCACCCTCCTGCTGAGAAATGGGCCTTGGCCCCATCCCTTAAATGCCATTGGGTTTGGTGACTGTGATGAGAGGGTGTGGGAGCCACACCAGCAATATGCTTCCTCCTGACGCTTGTGCCCAGGACCCTGGTCACAGCCCAGGCAGCCTGCTCAAGGACCACACAGGGAGGCCCAGGTATGGGAGTGAAGGAAGCTTCCATAACTGTGGCCGGGCCATGGGATTGTCTAGACTTCGGAGCATATCAGCGCAGCGCTGGCTTGGATGGGGCCAGGTGCTCATTTAGCTCTGGCCTGCGGCCCAGCACTGAGGCACAGCCAGGGGTGCACAGCAGGCCATAGCCGCCCCCCTCCACTGCCCCGTGGCACCCCCTCCATGGCCCCGTGGCCTTGGCCGCCCTCTTCCAAGGCCCTGAGGCTTCGGGACCAGCTGGGCTCTGGGACAGAAAGCTGCTGCTATGACAGGAGGTGCAAGGAAATTAGCTGTCTGCAGGCCAACCAAAATTTTACGATCAATTTCTAGAAATCTCCCAAAGGTGATCAACCAACTGGCCAATTACAAGGGGCTTCTGCCCTGGCAGGTGTAGAGGCACACTGCCCAGCCCAGATGAGCCGGTGGGCATCCTGTGCCCTTCTGCACCTGGCCAGAGGCTGGCTGTCTCACACACACCCTCGGCCTTCCAGCTACCTGGCCTGGGGAGGAGGCAGATAGATGCCCCTTCCCCCCTAGGCTGCCCTGCTCTGCTGGGAACTCCAACTGAGTCAAAGTGAGAGCCCTACCAGGCCCTCACCTCCCCCTGCATCCCCTTGCCCCTTGCTTCACACAGGAAGGCAGACCCCTCCCGCTGCAGGGCCTTTGCACTGTTTCCCATGGCACTGATATGGCTGAGGCCTTCCTTCCCCTGCCCACTGCTCACATTCGTGCCCCTGCACCCCGGCCTCGCCCCTCCCTACCACCATGTTGCCGCTGCATTCACCACCTCCAACTAGAAGCGGCACTTTTTTGATCTATTCACCATCTTCTCCATGGCACTGTGAGGCCTGTGGGACACAGGCCATTTGGTTCTTTCCAGCACCAGTTGTTGCAGGGAGGAGGGAATACACACTATATATTGTGGGCACAGAGGAGGGGGGCTGAGGACACTGGCTGCTGCCGGGCAGGGTGGGGTGCAGGGCGGGCACAGGCACCAGAGAAGGAGCCCAGGATGGTCCTGGGAAGGGAGGTGATCCACAGACTAGCCTGCCTGCTCCTGTGGAGCCCAGCTCAGCCCCTCCAAGAGCACCTGGGCTGGGTCCTCTGAGGTTGGGGGGTCATTACCATGGTGACAGCATCCACAGGAAGGGGCCTGAGACCTCCCTGGCTCATCACTGGTGGTTGCCAGTGGGCTCACTGTTGTTCTGCCTCTGCAAGCATGGGGCCCTTCCAGGACACTCCATGCATCACACTCGGGGTGGGAGGGTGGGGCTGGACTCCAGCCTCAACAGGCATCCAGATCCTCAGTGCCCTCTAATAAGGGAACCCCCAAGTGCTGCTTCAGAGGCAGATGGGTCATCATGTCCCCAGCTGCATGGAGCCGAATGGAGGAAAATATTTTCCAACTAATCTCAAGACACTGAGGAGCATCTGACAGTGTGCTGGGGGGACTGCCCAAAAACTACTGGGACAGAAGCTGTTGAGGATGAGCAATAGTTGGGGATTTTCTGGGGGTAAACCTCAGAGAATTAAATCCCTTTAAGTATGGCCTACAAAGCAGGTCAGACAACAATTGCCCTGAGTCACCTAGTGCGGGAACACTATTGGGGACGTAAGCCCTGCTGAGCTTGAGGCCTCACTTCCAGAAAACACAAGCAGCAGGGGCTCCAGGGCACACACAGGGACACGTGGCATGCCTGCTGTCAGCCATACACAAAAGAGGCACTGTGCCATGCTGGTCACTTTCATGCAGATATACACATGGCGTGCAGGCACCCACGTGCACATACGTGCACAGACACGCAGGCGCAGATGTGCCTAGCCCCACCACAGCCACACAGAAACACCACCTTGCAGACACGTGTCAGCACACAAGAGGACACAGCACACACTCTTCTCTCATAAAGAGTCGCACACGAGCTACTCATGGGGCAGGTGCACGTAGAAGCCACATGCCCTACCTCTGGAACATGTGCACACACACCCACACACATGCATACACACATACACACACATTTACACACACACAGGCCCCCCACTTGCCCTCACCCTGCCCACTCCTACGAGACAAGGCTCACCTGGGTTGCTTCTGGCTCTAGTGCCCACTTGGTAGACACCAGGGACCAGCACACACATCTGCTCATGCCAGGGCCAAATGTACACAAAGGAACCTCCACGGCCCTAGCAGCAGTCTGGGCCCAACCCTGCCACCACCTGTCACTCCCGTGCAGCAGCCGTGGGGTGTTAAGTTGCAAGCAGCTGGCACATTAATTATGGGATCTTCTCCAGGAAACATTCGAAGAAAACTCTTAGGGGAGAAGACCATGAATAACGCACATAATTTGGAAGCAGAAGGGCTGCCTGGTGGCTGTGACAAGAGGCTACGAGGCAGGGAGACCCCAGCTGCCCGGGGGCTCTCAGGCATGAAAGGAGGCTCCAAATGGGGGGCCCTGAGCCAGGCCCCTCTCCCTTTACCTCACCCACTAGTGAGGGTTCCTGGCCCTCACTCTCCCCAGTCCCACCCTGTGCCACATAGTGTATTGTAACCAGACACCCCCCGTGTTGGCAGGTCTGCCCACTCTGTCCCTAGCTGGGTCCCAACGCTGGCACAGCTCCTGGCCAGTGTGCTGCTGGCTCAGCAAGGTGCACTCCAGGAGTGGTTGATAAGCTGAGACCACCCAGCCTGTGGGAGGAAGGCACAGTATAGGGTGTGCTGTGACCCATGGCTGTGACCAGGGACCTGAGGACAGCAGGGTTCCCCCAGGGAAACACTCCCAGGCATCGGGATGTGACCACCTGGAAGTGTACAGCCCCTCAGATGTAGAGCTGCCTGGGCTGGCAGACCCTGAGGTTGGGGCGGTTGGGAGTCAGGGGAGGCCCAGGGCTGCAGGGTGTCCCTGCCACACAGAAAACCAGCAGGTTAATTACACACCCTATAAAGAGCTGCTGTGATTTAGAGAATGAGCCCAGCAGGTCCTGGAAGTCTGGAGCTCACAGTAAATCAGGGGCTGTGGGGATGAGGCAGGTGGAGCCCAGGCCCTGCCTTCCAATGAGCCAACGGCTATAAATCTACAGAAATGGCTTTTATGGAGCTCTGGGTTTTATGGTGTCATTAACGTTTCTCCTGATACTTAAGGGGCAACGAAATGAAGTCACAAGGATAGGTTAGGGGCTGCTTCCCTGGGCCAGGATGGGGCAGTGGGGAGGTAATGCTCCTCAGGGCCAGAGGCAGGGAGGTGGTACTCCCCTGGGCCAGGGGCAGGGGGTGATGCTCCGCTGGGGCAGGGGCAGGGGCAGGGCCAGTGATGCTCCCCAGGGCCAGGGCCCGGGGGGTGATGCTCCCAAGGCCAGGGGCAGGGAAGTAGTGCTCCCCAAGGGTAATGCTCCCTTGGGCAGAGCCAGGGGAGTGGTGCTCCCCTGGGCCAGGGGCAGGGGGATAGTGGTCCTCAGGGGCAGGGAAGTGGCCTCCACAGGGCTAGAGTTGTCAGGTCTACAAGTCAGCCACCTCCTGCCCCTCATGCCTGAGTCCAGGCAGAGCACATCGTGGAGGTGTCAAGTCCCTGGTGGGGTGGTCACTCCGCACCCAGGGCCCTTCACTCCAGATACCTCCCGGCAGGACCCAGAGGCAGAGTGTCTCCCCTACCCCGAGTGCTCGAGGAATTTGGGGAACGAGGGCCAGCAGGTCTCCCCCAGGGCAGGACCCTGAGTGAGCGTGATGCTCCCTCCCAATCTCTGCCTGCTTTGGCCTCAGCCCCAGCCCTGTACAACGTCCCCTCCCAGCCTTGCTGCAGGGCCAGGACCACCCCGAGGTCTCTGGCCCCGAAGGGGAAACACTCAGGACAGCTGGGAGCTGCAAAGGTACACGGATGGCAGACTTACCGAGTAGCCTCTGCCCGAGACGGCCTGCGTAGAGCTCTGCAGGGAAGGAAGAACAGTTAGGAGGAGGGTCACAGCCCCAGTGGCTGCCCCTCCTCTGAGGACCTCCTCCTCCTGGCCCAGGACCTCAGCCTTTTTCAGAGCCCCCATCTCTGGGTGCTGACAGGCCACTGTGCCACAGAGGAGGGTACAGCAGAGTGTCACAGGGCCCTGGCAGAGACTCAGAAGATGCAGCCCAGAGACTCAGAAGATGCAGCCCTGCCCAGCAGAGTCAACCCAACAGAGAGGCAGGCAAAGTCCCCAGGTCCCTTCATAGATGGGCTCACTCCTTGGGCACATTTCGGCCCCTCCCAGAGGGCCAGGTCCCAAACCAGCTATGGGAAACAGGTAAGGCTCGCTGTTGGTGGGGCTCCATTCATGTCCTCCCCCTCTGGCCCAGGCAGGGGGACCAATGACCACCCACCAGCCACCAGCCTCACAGGGTCACAGGGTTGTGGGGGTTGGGGGTGGAGGGGAGACTTCCTGGAAGGGGAGTAAATGGGTAGCCTGGGGCTAGGGGTAGCCACAGACATGCACTGTAGCCTGGAGGCCAGGGGTGAGGGGCACCCAGGAAGGTCCCTTGAGGCCACCCAGCAACACTTGACTTGACAGGGCATTTCAGATTTGGCAGGAGAAACCAGTGAGGAGATGTGCTCAGTGGGCAGCCACGCGAGGAGGGGCATTCCACCAGCACACAGGCTGGCAAGGCAGGGGGCAGAGCGCAGGAAGGGGCAACCGACAGGGCGGATGTGGGGGTGGTGCAGGGTGTGAGTGAGCTCAGGGGGCCAACACAGGCTCATCAGGGACCCGTAGACTTGGGTCCAGAGCATGCCAGGGAGGAACGGGTTTGGCTGCAGACTCCTCCAGGAGGGTGGGGGACCACGGGTTGAGGGGTGGTGCAAGGGGCAGGAAGGGGTCCCTCCTTACTGCAGCCTAGGCACAGCACCCCATCCAGCCTTGGCTGGGGCTCTGGGACCCTTCCTTCCCCAGATGGTCCCTTGCCAGGTCCTGGGGAGGGTCACCCTGGCGGGGGAGGGGAGCTACCCCTAAGCCCTGCTGAAGGGGGCGGGTGGGGTGCTGTAACTGGTCTGGAGCAGGTGTCCTCAGGGCCCTCCCTGAAGTGCTCAGGATCCTGCTTCACTCATCCCACCAGCAATTAGAGTCCGAAGTAGGGCAGCCCCACAGCCCCAGACAATTGCCAGTCTATTTTCCCATCCTGTGGTGACAAGCTCCCAAGCTGGGCAATTAGCCTCTCCTCCCAGCCTCCCCACCAGCGCTGCACCCTCCAGGCCTCTATTGAGATGATAATGAGAGATGCTCACTCCTTTCAGTCACCCAGAAACCCAGCCCCTGAGCCTCCAGGCTTCTGCAGCTGGGGGTCTAGGAAGACAAAAGCCTTTGGGTGGGGGGGGAGGGGCCTCCGCCTGGGGCCTCTCCCCTGGTCACCATCCTAGTTCCCTGCTGCGCCCACCCACCCCCTCCTCCAAGTGGCTGTGGCCAGGGAGACCCAGAGGCCCTGAAGGGCACCCAGCACTCCTATTGCTGGCCCAATCTCAAGTGGCATCCTCTGCGTGTTGCCAGGGTCATCCCCACACTAGGCTGGATACTCAGGGACCTGTCCTCCCAGGACACTATGGGTCCCCGACCAGGCCAGCATGTGCCCCAGCGGGACACCCTCGCTCCCCGTGGGCCTGAGGCTGCCCACCGCACCCCCCGCCACCGCCCGGGGCCCAGAGCAGGCCCGCCCAGCAGACCAGGAGCACTGCCCACAGGGGTTCCCACTGTGGCCCTGTCTGGCAGTACCCATGGGCCAGGGTGCACCCCCAGCAGGACAAGGTTTCCCTGTGGCTCCTGCCAGGGCCTACTCTGGGTTTCTCATTTAAACCCCTCCTAGTGGGGAATTCCTCATTAGTGAAACCTCATGTTTTAAGGAAGGCACAATGCTAAGTGCAAACGCAGAGCCCTCGGTGAGCCTTTCAATATCTGCTAAAGGTGGGGAGCAGGCCGCGCCCCCCTTCCCCGGCTCCTGAGTGAGGGACTTGGGAGTGTTTGGCTGAGCAAGCAGCTGGGGCACTCACGTCACTGAGCTGGTCCCGAGAACTACTCCTCCGGGAGCTGGTGGCTTCGTGGAAGCTGTCATCCCCACTGTGGTGGTCGCCCCCTCTGGACGCTGTGACCTTCATCTGGGGACAGGGAGAGGGAGGCTCAGCAAACACAGACCCTGGCCCTCTGCCTGCAGAGGCAGGGTGGGGGCACATCCAGGGTCAGGCTCCTCACTTCTGCCTTGACCTGCTCACCCACACTGAGCCCCGGGCCGTGGCCCAGAGAGAGGGCAGCAGGGGCAAAGCAGGCACGGAAAGAAGCACCCGGAAGAGCAGACCACACACGACGCCCCTGGGGGCTCTGCCCTGGTTTCCTGGAGCCAGCGGGCTACCCTGCCCCATCTCTACACCAGGGAGCTGGTCCCGGCCTCCACAGCAGGCCACCTTTGCTGCCCCTACGGCACACACGAGCCCCAGGGTACTGCCGGCTGAGTGTGAACTGCCCACTGCCCACTGTGGGCCCTAGGGCCACCACCAGACCTCTTTGTGTCTCTGCCCTGCACCTGCACAGCAGGACGAATGCACCCAGGAGGCCGGCTGCTGCCCAGAGTCCCCAGGCCCTGCTGTGCTCAGCACTGCACTTCTCACGCACAAGCCCTGAGGAGATGCTTGTGTGCACTTCGTGGAGGGCAAACCAAGCCCAGAAGGTGAAGCAGACCCAGAATTCCTGCTCCTCTTCTCCTGCTCACTGGGAAAGAACTTTAGACCCTTGCACTGACCTCCCGCAGCCAGGGAGTCACACCTCCAACCACATGGCCCAGACTTCTTGGGCTCCCCCGCTCGCTGCCTGGGGTCTGCCACCCACCACCTCCCTACCCCCAGCCCTGTATTCTGGAGCATCCCTGCAGCTCTGTCCTCTAGGTCAGCATGCAGGGCACACACTGACCACTGTACCTTGTCTATATGCCTGGCATCTTCCTCGGAACAGACCCAACACCTGTGGGACAGCGTGGGGACACCGAGGGCATGTGAGTGTCCTGCACCCCTCTTTGCCCCTCAGCCTCCTAGCCCACCCAGCATGGTGCCCTCACGTACAGAACCCATCCCACCACCATGGTCTGCGAGGCCTGGCCAGGGTCCAGAGCCTATGACCAGTCCTCCACGTCCAGCCTTTTTGTCTCGAGCACCCTCCAGCCTGGAGACCCTGGCTGGGCCAAAGGCCAGGATGGGTCAGCAAGGAACACTGGCTATGATCTAGAATATTCTTGAGGCCTGAGTAAACGACCCCAGGACCTGGGCCCTTCCTCCTGCAGACCCCACAGCAGGCTCGGCCAGAAGCCTCTCTCCAGGCAGCCCCTCAGGCCCCCTGCTCCCCAGGGCCACCCCAGGTTCCAAGTTGGAGGTACGGCCCCCCAAAGCCATGGGCCCCGTGTTGGGCAGCAGTACAAATGACAAGACAGAGCCTGTGTCCGCAGTCCATAGCCTGGGGCCCTGCACAGAGGGTCCAGAGGAGGCCCAGGGGTGGCCCAGGCCTCGGCACCCTCTCCTTCTCGGAGGCAGGCCCAGGGCAGGGTCCTGGTCCCAGGGCAGGGTCCTGGTCCCATGCCAGGCAAGAGCCCCCACACCACAGATTATGGGACCCCTGCCTGCTTGTTCCATCCTGGTCAGCTGAGTGCGGCACGTCCAGACCGAGCCAGCATGGCCTCTTCTGACTATCCCCAGGCCCAGCTGCCTCACCTGTGCAATAGGGATGCCTACCAAATGCCTCCCGCGTGACAAGGAGCACGTGCACGTAGGTGTCTGAGTGATACAGTTCCATCAACCTGAGTCCACAGGGCCAGCACTCACCAAGAAGCCGCCAGATGTCACTGTTGTCACCTGCAGAGTTCTAACTACCCTAGACCCGCCCCAGGCTTACAGAATTTGAAACTCAAACCACGTGTCACCAGGCCCTCTGGGAGATGCTGCTGTGGCTCCAGCTGAGACCCATGGCTCCAATAATTAGTAATCACCCCATGAGCCCCACACTCACTACTGAGGGGACAGCAGCTCAGGTTGAACCCAGGGCAGGGTCCCGCCCCAGGAGAGAAAAGCTGGACCCACAGACACCTCAAGGACAGGAAAGGACTAGTGCGCGGCTGCCATGTACAGTAGTGAAGATTGTTCACTGCACAGGTTTACCCAGTAAGGAGAGAGGGACTAGAGGGGCTAAACTACAACCCCCCACACAGCTGAGATTGGAGAAGGGAGAAAGCCACATTTCACTTCACACACTCAAAGAGGCTGTCTCCTCTCTCAACTGGGTCCCAGAAAGGAGGCCTCAGCAAGACTCCTCAGTGGTACTCTGCAGGAGGGGCAGGCTGGGGTCTGTCACCCCTCCTTGAGTGGCCAGTTTTGGCTCAGAAAGCCCCATTTCCCAGAAAATCCTATAAAACTGAGTCTTACATCCTACGAAGTACCCCAATCCCAGACACAATGGGATGAGTTTGGCTGTCCTGCAGCCCCACCTGCTACCCTAGCTGCCCAGAAATGTTACTGGCCAGGTATGTGGGGGTTGGGAGGGGCGTGTCAGGAATGGTACACATGTTTCCAGCTGGAGCTGGAGAGATGAGATCAGAGTCTCTGGGCCTTTAAGTCCATGTCTAGGGCTAGAAGGTGCTCTGATTGCCCTGGGAGGGTAAGTGGGAGCCCCTATGCCTGTGTCCACCACTGAGCCTTGTGGTCCATCCACCTATCCACTTATCCACTTATCCATCCATCCATCCACTTGTCCATTCATTCATCCATCCATCCATCCATCCATCCATCCATCCATCCATCCATCCAACTCATCCTTCCATTCACTCATTTACCCACTCACCCAAACAACTCTCCATCCACTTATCCACCTACCCATCCATCCAACCATCCATCCACTCATCTACCTATTCACCACTCATCCATCCACCCACCAATCCATCCACCCATCAGTCCATCCCCCATCTATCCACCGACATGGCCATCCATCTCCCCATCTACACACTCATCCACCTACCCATCCGCCCATCCATCTACTCATCCATCCACCTGTTCACCCACCTGTCTATCCATCCATCCATCATCCCACCCACCCAACCACCTATCCACCTACCTATCTATGCATCCATCCATCTATCCATCCGTAGGTCCACCTGTCACCTGCCCACCCAATGCTTACAGAGTACCTATGCACTGGCTCTGTTCTGGGCAGCAAACACAAGACACACATTCCCATCCTCCTGAAGCCTACAATGAAGAGACTGGCACACAGTTGGCAGATAGCTACAAGTACCAAGACAACAGCAGAGAAAAAAGACAAGGCTGCCAAGGTGGAGGAGCCCTAACATGGAGTGCCTGAGGCTTCTGTGGTGTGAGGACACCATGGCTGGTTTCAGCTGCCAACAGTCTGAAAACCGGCTCACAAACGGCTCTTGCAAGGTGGCATGCCAGCAGAGCAGGCTCTCAGACTTGTGGGGATGGGACTCTGCCTTCAGACTGAGGGACATGTAGAAATGTGGCATTGCCTTCAGTCTGGCAGGGTCAGGTCCTGGCTCTCAGAAAGGTGGGTAGAGCACAATTCCTTTGGACTAGCATGACAGGGCACTGTCATCAGATTAGTGGGGCTAAGGATACTACTTCCTGGTGGTGGCATACCACAAGCTCTCTGACAGGGACAGAATGGCCACGGCAACTCACCCACGAAGAAGAAGCCCAGACTCCTCAGGCTGCTACCCACTCTTGTGATCCCTCCCCTTCCCTGACCTCTCCCCCACGGGGCCCTCTAGTCCAGGCTCCACTGCACATCCCAGGAGGAAGTGTCTATGTCCTGGGCTGGCCGGCAAGCACACTGGGCCACAGACAGGCAACATGTGGTTGCCCTTGGTGATCAGGCCACGGGGTGGTGGGTGTGGGGGTGAGGGGAGTGGGTGGCTAGTGCAGAGGACAATGCAAAGGGCCCAAGAGGGAGGACGCAGCAGTGTCCCTGGGCAGACAGGAGACAGCCCGTGGCTATCCCAGGCCTGGCTGCCCCCAGGATTTCCTACTGCTTGCTCTCCCAGTCCCTGGGGCTCGGTGGGGCCTCCTGACCCCAGAACCTACAACCCATCCCACCTGGCAGGTGCAACCACTGCCTTCCCCGTGGCACATGGCAGCAGTGAACATGTCATGTCATTGCTGTGTTCAGTTCAGCATATGCACCCTCTCAGCTGCAGGGCCTGAACCCATGGTCGGCAGAGGCCTGCTCTTGGTCCAGTGCTATGGAGAAGCAGGGTAGAGGCGGCCGCAGGGAGGCCCAAGGCTTGGGGCATGGCCACAGAGCAAGGCCAGCCCAGGGAGGCGCCCTTCTCACAGACAGTGCGATCATGCGTGGGCGGGCAGGGCTGGCGGGAGCAGGCGACCCCCCTCCCCCCTACAAGGCTGCATGCATAGCTTCTGGACTCTGGGCTCTGTCATGTGCATGCATCCCCTCCCCGCTCCCCACCCTTGAACATGAACAATAGCTTGGGTGTTTCCAGGCTGGCATCCCCCCACTGATGGCAGCATCTGTTGGTGAAGTGAAGTCATAACCCACTGAGACATGAGACATGAGACATGCAGTCCTTGGGGCTGCATGCAGGGTCAGACGCGACCAGTTGGGAGGACATCCTGCTGCAACCACTCCTCTGGTCGGCTAACACCTACTTGGGTTATAAGCTGGATTCTGCTTTCTCCAGAAATCCTTCTCGATGCTCTGTCCACTCCTGCATCAGCCAGGCTGGGCTAGGGACCGTTCAGGACCCTGGGGACCCAAGTGTCCCTCTGAAAGTGAAGCAGCATCCCAGATTGGCTTGTCTGTCTCCTGCACTGTGCGGTGAATGCTCCGTGGACAGAGGCAGGACCAGGCGCAGTGAAGGGGGTTCAAGCAATGCAAGTGTTCCCACAGACAGCCCAGTGCCAGGAGCAAACTGCTGCTCTCTGACACTGGCCACCCTGCCACTGCCCCATGCTCCTCCACTGAGACAGGGACGGGTCGATGGGGAGACAATGGATGGGCCGCAGATGGACAGATGTGTAAGATGCACAACTCATCGAGGGATGCTAGTGAGGCCACCACCCTAGAAGACACATGGCTAGCAGGCTCTGGG